TCCCCCCCTAGTCTCCCATCTCCTCCGAGGCTCCCATCTCCTCCTATTGTCCCATCTCCTCCTAGTCCCCATCTCCTCCTAGTCCCCATCCTCTCTTCGTCCTCATCCCCTCCTAGTTCCCATCATCTCCTAGTCCCCATCTCCTCCTAGTCCCATCCACTCCTAGTCCCCAGCCCCTCTTAGTCCCTCCCCCTCCTCATTTTCATCCTCTATTCACTCCCTTTGACCCGACAATTTTCAATCTACACATTTGTGATGTCTTTTTTTTTCTTCTCGAGAGTTTTTTAGTCTTGTGGTTAAAAGTACTACCCACTTTATAACTTACTCTATGATTTAATAAGATTAAATCCCTCTGTAGCTCACTCTCTAAGAATGACATGATTACTTACATTCTTTTGTTTCACGCAGCCCTTCCCTTGTCAGATAAAAGCCACCGACCGCTCAAGAAAAAAAGTTTTTAATTTTATATAATACATTTGCACATAAAATAGAACTGAGGGACCCACTACAGATTTCCAGACATTTAATATGTTATCAAATTATTTCAAACATGTTAGGACTTTTACAGGTATATCCTGATATACTTAATCAACTGAGACGATTGAAAAAAAGAGGGGATGAACCTGACCCGGTATGTACAAATATAAGAATTGATCAAACTGAAAATTATAGGAACACATTTGACGCAAAAATATTTCTTTCTTTTTAATCAAAGTGACAACTTTACTCTGTCATCCACATTAATATTGAAAGCTGCTAATAAAGATTTTCTTGCAACTATTTATTTAATCGTTTTATTATCATTACACTTAGATTTTCAAAATTTAAGTAAACGCCAGCAGTTACTATTATTATTTTATTAAATGCTATTTCACATCCCATTGTATTCTATGATTGTTAAAAATACAACTTAGATCATTTCTTTTTATAGTCTAATAAATATGTATGTCAAACTAGATTATATATATATACCCTTTACATTTGTACTCTCATCATATTCCTTCCCGAAAAATACAATTAACTCATATTATTGCTCATCATGAAACAAAGCATCTATTTTATTTTAATCAGCCAATTTTTTTTTAATTTTCTTCTCGCGAATATAGAAATTTAATAAACAACTGGAACCTAGACCTAGAATGGTGAGTATTATGTGTACATGAATGCTATAAGCTAGATCTATAATGGTAAGTATTATATGTACATGAATGCTAGAACCTAGATCTAGAATGATAAGTACTATGTGCCCCTGAATGCTAGAACATAGACCCAGAATGGGTAGTATTATGTGTACCTGAATGCTAGAACCTAGGCCTAGAACAGTTAGTGATATGTTTATCTAAATGCTAGTACCTAGACCTAGAATGGTAATTACTATGTGTACCTGAATGCTGGAACCTTGACCCAGAAAGATCAGTATTATTTGTACATGAATGATAGAGTCTAGACCAATAGAATGACAGGTATTATGTGTACATGAATGAACATAGCACTAGAATAGTTAGTAATATGTTTAACTGAATGCTAGAACATAGACCTAGAATGGTAAGTATTATGTGTATATGAATGCTAGAACCTGTTTTAGAATTGTAAGTATTATTAATTCATGAATGCTAGAACCTAGGCCAAGAATAGTTAGTGATATGTTTAACTAAATGCTAGAACCTAGACGTAGAATGGTAAGTATTATGTGTATATGAATGCTAGAACCTAGACCCAGAAAGAATGGCAGTATTAAAAGTACTTGAATGCTAGAACCTAGATCCTAGACCCCCAATGTTAAGTGTAATGTATACATGAATGCTAGATCCTAGGCCTAGGGTGGTAAGTCTTTTGTTTATCTGAATGATAGAAGCTAGAACTGGAATAGTAATTATTATGTGTACATGAATGCTAGATTCTAGGCCTTGAGTGGTATTTTGTTTATCTGAATTATGGAACCTAGGGCTGTAACATATATATGCCTGAAAATTGTAGGCAAAGTATGAAATGCTTTATATTTCACATATTTCCTAGGCATTCTATATAATGCCTAAGAGCGACCCGGCAATGTCTAGAATACCCCGCCATTCATGTTTGATTCTTTGCTTGGTGGTGGCATTGTGATCACGACACACGTGCTTCGTACTCCCGCCAAAGACGCTACCCCTATTGTTTCAAGATGGCTGCCGAGATGTTGGAAGATCACATTGTTGCTTCAGATCAGGAATCACGGTATGTTTACAAGCAACGGCTGTTCTACGATGAAATTTCTCAATGACCAGCCAACAATGCTAAAAACTGCTTTTCTCTAACGGAAACTAGTTACCAAAAATTGGTGGATGATGTGAAAATGGCTCGGATGACAACTCAGAAGAAACCACGAGACTATTGGTTGCTGAAATGCTATGATGTAATGGCGGTGGAGAACAAAAGTAAGTTGATCGATCCTGTTAAAGAAGGGACAGTGCTATTCAGTTCTATGTCACGGATTCAGAATTATTTGACATACTTCACGAGGCTCATTTGAACGTGGGACATGGTGGAAGGGACAGAATGTTGAAAGAACTTTCACACGAGTATAAGAACATTATACGTAATGATATTGAACTTTACCTCCACCTTTGTGACCCGTGAGAGAAGAAACAAAAAGATGTCACAAAGGGTGTTGTGGTGAAGCCTATGATTTTTTCTGAATTCAACTCCGGTGGTCAGGTCGATCTTATCGATTTTCAATCCCATCCTGACAGGGAATATAAATTTATAAAGGTGTAACAAGATCATCTCACAAAGTTTGTGGTTCTGAGGGCTTTAACATCCAAGAGGGCGGAAGAGGTAGCCTACACACTAGTGGAAATATTTACGTTGCTTGGAGCTCCATTAATTCTACAGTCCGATAATGACCGGGAATTTACCAACAATGTGGTGGATAGCCTAAAGGAGTACTGGCCCAAGTTGAAGATCGTTCATGATTAACCGCGCCACTCACAAAGCCAGGGCAGTGTCGAAAGAGCTAATCAAGACATCGAAAACATGCCATGTGCTTGGATGCAAGGTGAAAAAAACTGACCACTGGGCTGAGGGATTACGATTCATCCAACTTATGAAGAACAGGGTCTTTCATTCAGGGATCAAGAGAACGCCATAAGAAGCTCTGTTTGGCTGCAAAGCTAGCATGGGTATCGAAACATCTTCCCTACCACTTGGCGTTTTGCAAGACATGCAGGCTGAAAAAGAACTCGAAAAAATAATAGGAAGCGTAAAAACAACACAGCAGGAAGAAGCAAATCGTCAGATGCAAGATACAGAGCCTGCTATACAGAATACTGAAGAGAATGCAACCAGTAATGGAGGAAACCAAACTGATTGTGACGTCATGGTTACTGAAGAGCCTTTCACTTCGGGTGTTTGTTGTGTCTGCTTAAAAGAAAGCAGCGGGGCCATACATGCCGAAACTGTCACCTAAATGTTCATCTTATCTGTGGGCATGCTGCTAAAGACGATGGAGACGAGGAAATAGAAGGTTATGGTGTTGGTATTTTGTGCAGCTTGTGTTTCAAGATAAAAAGAGCTATAGAGGCTAGAAAAGAACCTTGAAATCTAGGCCAAAAAAATGAAAATAAACTCTGACAAAAAGTTCCCGCCTGCACCTTTAGGATCCAATGTGCGAGTTCCTATTCCTGACGTTGACTAGGGACGGGGTGACTCGCGCAATCTGTTGACAGTTGTTATGACAGAGACAGAACACTGCTTTTACCGACTTGGAACTGCACAAGGAATCTTGAAACAATTGTATTTGAGCTCACAGTTAGCTGTATGTCCAAAAGATTTATTGAGATTTGAAGACGTCCCGGCCCATGAAATACCTCTCCTTTCTGCTGCTATCTCTCAGTCAACAGGAAGCGGTCAAGGCTACGTGAGGTGTACGTGCAAGACTAGGTGCCAAAACATGAAGTGTCTTTGTTTGAAAAAGAAAATTACGGGCAATTCAAAATGCCACTCCAGCCTTACTTGCTGCAACAAGTAGCTCAATGACACCTTTGCTTGCCAGTTTTATTGTTATCTTTCGTATTCAAATATGTTTTTCTAATTAAAAAAAAATTATTTACGCTCGTTTAAAACTTTGCCTGAAGTATATGTGTCATTATATATAATACCTAGGCAATGTATAGAATGCCTAGGCAAAGTATGTAACTTAATCAAAGCAAAGTTGACATTCTTAAATGTGCGTAAATGTAGTAGATGGGAAGTACACGCATTGCTGTAGCCAATGTTTGGCGGGCTACATATAGTAGTAACTATTACGTTTACCTGAATGCTAGAACCTACATCAAGAATGGTACGTTTTATGTGTATCTGAATGATAGATCCTAGAACTAGAATAGTAAGTATTATGTGTATAAGAATGCTAGAATCTAGAATAGCTAGTATTATTTGTCCCCTAATGCTGTTGAAATATCCATGCAATATTAACTTTTACAAATTATTTAATTATAATTTGGGTCTAAAATGTCCGATGGAAAACACAATCTAACTCAAATCGAACGCAACACTACAGTCTATTTGAAACTGGACATGGATTTGTAAACTGTATGCTTAACACCAAGTGCAAAATAGATATTCTTCATATACATGCGCATATACACAATGATTCTTCGTGTACACAATGAACTATGCAATTTGTTTATTAGTCTTATTCTTTGGCGTGCTATGATACACTTAATTCCCAGAAACTTTCTATAGAATACTTGACGATTCTTATCATAGTGAGGAAAAAAAACATGAAACATGATACACATTGATTAAACATTCTATTGAATGCCTGGATTTCAAACTCTTCCTGTCATAGTGTGAAATTTTGGAGAAAAAACATTTCTCTGCTTGCGTCTTTTTTATGATTGAACGTTTAATTTTGGCACACATCCATACAATGAAATACAAATCATGGGTAAACCCTCACTTTCTCACACATGAGCAACGTCAGTGGTTCTTATACCTTGTCACGTATGTTTCTTCTTCCAGACTGCAATCTCCTTTGCGTCAATGGACCTTAAATCCCCAGAGTTTAAAGAGGGTCTCAAAATATTTACGTTTAACTCAAGTACAACAGCCGAGGAAGTTGTGCAGTTTTCAACTGGCGAACAATTGTGAGACATTAAAAAGAAGTTCATCTATTTTTTAAAAAAATGACAAAATCTAGTACCATTTCTAAATTTTTATGTTATATTTTTATAACACATTTTTAGAGCAGTGGTTCTCAAATTGGATGTTGATAAATGTTACGGTATGGGGTTGATTATAAGCTTGTACCAAATAAATACCCTGGGGCTCGCAACAACCGGAGTGAATTCAGTTTATGAATGGCACTGGGTGCCATAATTCCTCCTACAACACTTTAAAAATGGCCTTCCCAGTTCAAAAAGTATAATAGAACCATTGATTTCATGTATCGTTAAATAAAAATGCACCTCTTGATTTTAAAGTAAAAAAGCTCCAGCTATGATGATACTTCGGCGCCCTTGATTTCCGCTCTACATCCCGATGAAAATGATCGCCGATTTCGGTATCGATAGATACACTGGCTAGTGGCATAGCTACTATTAATGTCACCATAGGCGGCCAAACATTTCAAACAGTTTTGCAGCCCTCCCTTTCACGATACAAACTCTGCAATTGTTCAAAAATGCCACACGTGTATATCAGAAAAAGTGAAACCTCGGTGACATCCCATCCGCCTTATTTCGACACTGCTATCAGGGGCCCATCTAGAGTTTTTGGCGTCAGGGGACAAGATAAATATCTACGCCCCTCCCCCGCTCAACTCTGAAATTCATTATTTTCAACCATTAAATATCATCAAAGTCCATTTACCCGACCCCCCCCCTTGCTTGTCTGACGCTCCGGGACATATATCCCATCTGCCACCCCTTAGCTACGCCTCTGGCAGCTTACACTGCCACCCCTCCCGAGTGTCTAAACAGATTCCCAGATTTTGAGCATGTTCGTAGACTTAATGAGCGAGATATATTCATGTCAAGCATATTCTACATACAATTTGCTAGAACAACTATGAACTATATCCGAGTTCTTGGTGCAAGGTAAGATACTCAAACGTTAAGTCTGGGCGACCGCTTTTTTGTGTTTAACTTAGATATGATAGAAACAAATGCGAGCCTACTCTGTTCAATTTTCAGTTTTCACATTTGGTGTAAGCCCTTGCTGTGAAGGAGTCACCCTTGTGAGGGTGTCTGTTTATTTTGGCTTACTTCATAATTTAGGATTACCTCTTCATTTAGGTTTTCTGTTAGTTTTTGCTACACTTAAATTTTTATTACGTCTTAGAATGAGCTCTTTATCAAGTTTCTAATAAAGTGGTTTTAGATCGATATGGTATTGATTTCTTGCTCACAGACCAATGGAAAGGCTCATGGAAAAGCTGAAGTGTCATATCCTGGGAAAGGACTCAAAAACATCTCATTTCTTGTTTGAAAAGGGAGGAAATTTAGGTATGAGCTTACATACACTGATTTTCATACTATACAATTGGGTTATTCCCCATAGGCATCTTTGTTAACATTTTATTTATTTAATAAGTTTAAGTGGCACTTTTAGCTTCAAAGTTAGACTAGAATATGTGTCATTTATTTTTTCCATCATCTTTGTCAATTTGTTTTAATGTATTTCATTTTTTTTTCCAAATTTAATAATGTAATTTTACTAGGGCTGCGAGGCTAAGAAATTATATGAGTTGATTGCTTGCTTTCCCTTCTACTAACTATTCTTACACTCTGTTTTTAATAACTATTCTTACACTTTGTGTCTAATCACTATTCTTACACTTATTTTCTAATAACTGAGTTTCATACTATACAGCGTCATTTATTTTTCTATCATCTTTGTCAATTTGTTTTGTTTAATGTATTTCATTTTTTTTTTCCAAATTAATAAATTGTATTGTACTTCCGGCTTAAACAAGATGGCGGAAGAAAAAAAACAAATATAACACAAATGGAAGGAAGCATGGATTTACAAGAAATTAATGGATGGAAATGGTCCTTTATGTGGAATATATCCTTAAAAATCTGCACAGAATCAGAATCTTTGTTTCAGATAAGTAATTTCCTTTCAATAAAATTTCGTTGACAAAATCTCCATTATCATTATGCAAAGGATAACTTCCGGCCACAACAAGATGGTGGTATAATATACACAAAAGTCATGGAGAGGTATGGGCACTAGATACGCTACATGTACATGAGAACAGTTTCGCAATCTATACCGGATCGGCCGTCACCCGGTTACCAAGGACCGCGCCTACCTTCGTTGACCGAGACGGAGGTGGAAAATATGCTACTGGTCAGCCAAGAAACAGTATCAGTGCCAGGAATAACATAATACTAGGTACCTAGAACGTGAGATCGTTGAGAGAAACGGGCAAGGTGGAGGAATTAGTTCATGAAATGAGCAGATACAGAAGGGACACCCTAGGTCTGTGTGAAATGAGATGGAAAAACTTTGGAGAAATATCGACCCAGGAGGGCCACATACTGTATTTTAGTGGCCGGAAGGACACACACGCACAAGGAGTTGGCTTCCTCGTCCACAAAAACATTAAGAACAGTATTATGAGCTGTCGACCGGTTTCGAGCCGGCTCATCACTCTTCGTCTAAGGGCAACACCATTCAACATCAACATGTGCAGGCGTATGCACCAAGTACAGATTATACTGACGAAGAGTTAGACGACTTCTATCATCAGCTACAGGATGTGCTAAACCGAACACCCAAGAAGGACGTTCTTGTTGTTGTTCAATGAGGCTTTTGGAATTCGCCAGCTTCAACGAACTCATTCTGGCCAACACATTGGATGAACATAAAATGTCCAGGAAAACCACATGGCACAAACCCAATGGGAAACACAACCAGATTGACTACATCATGTTGCAAGCACGCTTCCGGTCTAGTATAAACATTGCCAAGTCTCACAGCTTCCCTTGAGCTGACATCAGGAGCGACGACGACCTAGTCATGATGACCTATAGGCTACACTTAAAGAGGGTAAACAAAAAAGGAAATACAAGAATTAAATTCGACCTTGATTGCTGAATGATGGATCCTAAAGTAGCAGAAGCCTTCCAGGCAATAATAGGAGGACAATTTGCAGCGTTTAATATCATAAATGCCGACTGTTCAGACATGGACACATTGATTGATAACTTCAACACAGCTGTGACGGACACAGCTCACGACATCCTTGGTAAACATCAACCAACCCGAAATCCATGGGTGACAGCTGACATACTTGATCTGTGTGATAAACGGAGGCAGTTAAAGAAAACAAAAATGATAAATACAGAGCGGGCCATTAAATATAGGACAGTTAATCAAACCATCAAAAAAGGAATGAAAAGGGCAAAGAAGAACTGGATTGAAGAGCAATGCTACGTCATTGAAAACTGCTTGAATCAAAACAATAGCAAAAAAGCTTACCAGTTGGTGAAAGAACTAACCACTGCAAAACAAGGACGTAGTACAACCGTACGGGATAAAAATGGTAAATGTTTAACTGAAGAAAATGATATCATCAAACGATGGACTGAATACTGTTCGGAGTTGTATCATGAAAGTATAAAGATAGACCCAGAGATCCTTAATGTCCCACCAGCAACAGACAATTATAACTACCCTATTCTCCGCGCAGAGGTAGAAGCAGCAGTCCAAGCATTCCAAACAGGAAAGGCCGCAGAAGTGGATAATATCCCTGCCGAGTTGGTGAAACAAGGAGGAGAGGGAATGATAACTACCCTATTCATATTTTTAGCAAAATATGGCTTACAGGGGAATGGCCCAAACCATGGACCCAATCGCTCATCGTCACCCTCCCCCAAAAAAGGTAACCTACAGCTATGCCAAAACTATCGCACCATTAACCTAATAAGCCATCCAAGCAAGGTCATGCTGAAGATCATATTGAACCGACTAAAACCATACACCGACAGAATCATTGCTGAAGAACAGGCGGGCTTCAGACGAGGACTGGGCACTACTGAGCATATTCTAAACCTCCGAATACTATGTGAGAAATATGCTCAACACCAACAAAATCTATAGCACGTCTTTGTTGACTTCAAGAAAGCATTTGACAGGGTTTGGCATGCTGCTTTATGGGCCACCATGAGGCACTACAAAATCAACACAAACCTAACCAGCATGATATGCAACCTCTATGATAAGGCCACCAGTGCAGTCTTCCTCAACAACAACATCGGAGAATGGTCCAAGACCACGGTTGGAGTAGGACAAGGCTGCCTGCTCTCCCCCAACCTATTCAACATCTTCCTAGAGAGAATTATGTCAGATGCTCTGGAAGCGCATGAAGGGACAGTCAGCATTGGTGGCGAAACAATCACCAACCTACGCTTTGCCGACGACATAGACGTGCTGGCTGGGAAGGAAGAAGAACTAGCCGACCTGGTAAAACGTCTCGATAAGACCTCGTCGTCCTACGGCATGCTAATCAGTGCCGAAAAGACAAAACTGATGACAAATAATACCGCAGGCATCACCACTGAAATTAAGGTTGGGGGGGGGGGAGAGGAAGATTAGAGACTGTCGGCCGCTTCAAATACCTAGGAGCAATAGTCTCAGAACAAGGCTCCAACCCGAACTGATGTCCAGGATTGCGCAGACTACAACAGCACTAAAAAATCTCAAGAAAATATGGAATGACAAAAATATAGCTCCCAGCACGAAAATCAGGCTGATGCGCTCATTAGTCATCTCCATTTTCCTTGATGCCTGTGAATCCTGGACATTAACAGCCGATCTTGAAAGGAAAATAAAAGCGATGGAGATGAGATGCTTCAGAAGCATTTTTGGCATCTGCTATAGGGATCATATCTCCAATGATAAAGTGAAAGAAAGGTTCGTCAGGCAATTGGGGAGTAGGGGTAATAAGAGGAGAGACTGCAATCAGGTTAGTACAAAATAAAATGAGTAAAACAGAGTATGGTTAAACCTGAAAAATTAAACGCAACAAAACAGCGAACGTGTCGGCAGAAAGCCTTCGTCAGCGAACAAAACAACAGAAAAAAGTTATAAAAATAAGAAATAGCACTTAGCTGGTAAGTAGTATCTGTGGGCAGCAATAGAAGTGTGGGGAGTACGATGACGTACTGATGACTGTGAAAAAACGTAAATTACAATGGTACGGCCACGTAACAAGGAAACAAGGGCTTGCCAAAGAAATATTGCAGGTCATCACAAGAGGGGGGAGAAGAAGAGGAAGACAAAGGAAAAGGTGGGAGGATAACATCAAAGAGTGGACAGGACTAACACTTTGCAATGCAGTACGTAGTGCTGAAGACAGAGAGGAATGCAGGAGGATGTTTCACATGTCATCTGTGGCGCCCCAACGGTCCAAGGACTAAGGGATATGAGGATGGTTCACATGTCATCTGTGGCGCCCCAACGGTCCAAGGACTAAGGGACATGAGGAGGAGGAATAATGTATTGTTACTAGGGGTGCAAGGCAAAGAAATTATATGAGTTGATTGCTTGCTTTCACTTCTACTAACTATTCTTACACTTTGTTTCTAATAACTATTCTTATACTTTCTTTCTACTAACTATTCTTACACTTTGTTTTTACAAAATTTTCTAACACTTTGTTTCTAATAACTATTGTTACACTTTCTTTCTACTAAATATTCTTACACTTTGTTTCTACCCAGTGGCGTAGCGAGGGGGTGCGGAGTGGATGCAGACTGCACCGGTTGACACCATTTTAGGGGTGACACCAGACTGAAAAATTCCATATTTACAGAGCAAACACTGCTCGGTCTAACTAAGATTCATAAAAGGATAACCAATCACACATACATTTTTCACAAATGTAACCAATCCAAATGCGTGCTTTATTAAAAGTTCAAGGTTGATGCGTCATAAATGAGATGACCATACATTTAGGTTTGAAAAACACAGTAATTATGCCACGCCGATTGAAGTATTCAGTAACTTTCGTAAGTGACAGAAATCTATATTTACCTAAATCCTGAAAAATAAGGCTTCCCATTGATACCAAATACGATATGGTCGGGTTATTCTAAGTATAAGAATCGGTAAAAATAAAGAAATAATAAAAATAAATTTTTACCCAATTTATAAGGTTTAACAAAATTTAATATTTGACAAAATGTTCAATCTTTTAATGACAAATTCTTATTTATTCACATTTAAAAAGTGAAAGTTTTTTGAAGACATCTATAATATTATATTATATATCGAAACCCATCGATACTCAAAAATTAATATTTTTCCCAATTTATTCAAGATTAATATATCATGCCACACGGCGTGCACAAATCTAAAGGCCAAGTGGCAGTCAGCAGTGAAAAGCAAAAAAGAAAATACATGTCTCACAAAAATTTTTACCAGAATATTTGCTTCAATATCAAGAAACCCAATGATGACCAGAATCAGGAGTCATCAAAAGACTTTCCTCAGCCTACCATTGATACTGATTCTCCCGCTACCAGTAGCATCCATTCTTTTCAGCAAATTGTGGGGAAAATGGAAGGGATGAACGTGAAAACACAATTAAAAACATGGATGGTTTGGAAACAGAAAGGCCTACTTCCAATGTTGATTCAAACCAAGATAATATAAGTTTAATGGTTAATGACAAAACGGGCACATTTGATCAGATGCTTCTCTCTTGGATGTATCAGTTTCAGATTATATTTGGGTCTGAAATTATTCAAATATTGAGTACCTCATTTCAGAACAAGGACGGACGATTCAGCATTGTGACGAGGCAAGATTCGAAATCTAAAGGAGGTGTGAGCCAACTAACAAATCAATGGATCTACGGGGTGATGCAAATTGGCCATAGATGATATCTAAGTATGACCCATTGCTAAAAGAGCTTCTCAAGGTGTACATCTACAGAAAAAGCATCCGCATCTTACCTTTCATCAGAAACTCAAAATGATTTATAAATGTCCTTGCAAATCATGTGAAGGAGATTCTTAACATGGATATAAAGAAAGCGAGGTATTTTGGAGTTATGCTCAAGAGTACATCAGATGTATCACACATTGACCAGATGTCTGAAGTGATCAGATATGTGAAAAATCACAATGGGAAAGTTGAAGTGAGAGAAACGTTTCTTAGTTTTTTCCTGTTAAGAGGGAAAAAAGCTGATTTCTCATTTCTGACATTCTTACAAATCTAGCAGAGCTCAGGGTTACGATAATGCTGCCACAATGTCTGGAATCCATGGAGGTGTTCAGACTATTATGAAAAGAAATAACAAGAAAGCAATTTTAATGGATGGGTGACCCATTCACTTAACTTGTGTGGTCAACACTTCTTTGCAGAAAATGCTACATTACATTTTTCGGTACTGTTGAAAGAATATTTTCCTTCTTTGCTGCATCCAATCATCGATGGAATGTGCTGATTGAACACACCGGAATTTCGTTGAAAAGAATGTCAACAACGCGTTGGAGTGCTCATCATGCTGCTGTTAAAACAGTGAAAGATTGGTTTGATGAATGTGTGGCGGTGATTGAAGCTCCGTATATTCATCTTGAAAATTTGGATACAAGAGGTACAGCACAAGGTCTTTTACATGCTGTCTGTGATGATACAAGAGGTACAGCACAAGGTCTTTTACATGCTGTCTGTGATGATGCAAGAGGTACAGCACAAGGTCTTTTACATGCTGTCTGTGATGATACAAGAGGCACAGCACAGGGTCTTTTACATGCTGTCTGTGATGATACAAGAGGTAAAGCACAAGGTCTTTTACATGCTGTCTGTGATGATACAAGAGGTACATCACAAGGTCTTTTACATGCTGTCTGTGATGATACAGGAGGTACAGCACAAGGTCTCTTACATGCTGTCTGTGATGATACAAGAGGTACAGCACAAGGTCTTTTACATGCTGTCTGTGATTGCACGTTTATCTGCTACCTTTGACTATGGGCTGATCTACTTGAGGAAGTTAATTTTACACAGCAGTATCTGCAGACTAATTGCTTTATTCTTGACAAAGTGGTGACAAACCTAGTGGCCTTAAGATTGTTTCTGCACGAGAAGCGCTGTCACTTGGTGGAACATGCTATTGAAAAGGCACTTTTAAAGTCAGACCAATATGGAATTTTGGTAGCGAGAAGATTAAGATTTAAGAAGAGAATAGCAGGGGAACAATTAATAGATGCTGGACTCTCTGCGTGAAGAAAACAGTAGGGAGATGCTAGAGTGTATTGATCGTTTTCATTCTGAACTCCAGATATGTTTGGGGCTGTTCAACCCAAGAGTCTAATATCAGCAAGTGAAGAAGAGTTATTGTTGTCCGTTCCAAAATTAACCTCTTTCTATGATGAGTTATCAGAAGATGAACTTTTAAAAGAAATACCAAGGCTTAGAAAACACCTAAAGGAAGCTGATATTGAATTTCACAAAGTCATGGACTGGTCAGTATTTGATGTTTTAAAATTCATAGCTGAATGGGACTTCCTAGAATCTCTTCCAATACTGTCGTTAAGCCTTCAATTATTTCTTACGATATGTGTGTCTGTGGCCTCATGTGAGCGGAGCTTTTCAAAACTGAGGCTTATAAACTATTTACGATCCACGATGGGGGAGTCAAGGCTTTCTGATCTTGCTCTGCTATTAATTGAAAGTGATAGGGTGAAGGATATTGATTTTGATCGAGTGATGGACAGGTATGCAGCTTTGAAGACCAGGAAAGGAAAATTTTAAGGAAAGTAAATTTAATATAAAAATAAACATAACTTAACGTTCCTACAGTTCTTAAATACATTGATCTCATGACCTACAATTTATGTGTATTTGTTCTTGTCATTGTTACAATGTGGACTTATTTTAACTAAAAAAAATCTATCATGGAAGTTGGGGGGGGGGGGTTGGCACCATGGGTTTACCGCACCGGGTGACACCACCCCTAGCTNCCTGGTTATCGGTATAGCTGTAAAAATAACCAAGTCATTTCCATGTTTTGGACCAATAAAACACATTTGCAAGTCAAATTATCTCTTTAGTTTTTAACATAATATTTTTGCACTCATTTAGGCTCCTTAGAGGAGAGGGTCCTTGATCCAAAGACAAAGATCATTTCTTTGTATCGCGAGAATTCGAGCGCAACATATGTCATCAAAACCTGGAACGGCTACAATGTGGAAATGTCGGTGAAGGTCATTGGAAATATTGCAAGGCAGAGACCAGAGTATGGTGAAGGGAGGGATCTTCTCTTAAAAGAGGAAAAAGAGGAAGATTATTAGCTTTGGGATATAGTATCAAATATTTCTGTCATATCATATTTAGTTGGGGGTGGGGGGTAATTAAAACTATCTATGATATTATTAAATATTAGTGGGATTTAATATTATCATATCTTAGTGGGGTATTATCATATTTAGTTTACAATTATTCAAAATATTATATGCCTTCAGCCGTTACCAAATATTAGTAACATATTATCATACTTTAGTAGGGTATTATATTTAATGGGATTATATCAGATATATTCAAATATTATACAAAGTGGGATATTATTAAGTAATAGTGGGATAATATTAAGCCAAGAAGGATAGTATAAGCCAGATGTTATCAAATAATCGCACACGATCTAATATTTGTGGGATACTTTAATAAGAGTAAGATATTTTCTAATATTAGTGGGATATAATATTGACATAATATTGTTTTATTCTTTTTAATACATTTTTAGATTTGAATCGTTTCGTTAAAATTATTTATTTTTACTATTTTAAATTATTTTTAAAAGGATTTCAAATATTTTGATTATTTACAATGTCTATAGTAGATTTTAAATATTTGTTTTTAAAGTTTATAAAAGTTGATTACATTTTTAAATTGTTCAAATATTTTAAAATGAAAAGAATATTAAAGCATTTGTTGTCATTCAGATTAAATGTTTGTTTTTTATTTGAAAAATAAAGTTTTTTTGTTGAGCAATTGTTTTATTATGATTTTTTTAAAAACATTACAAATAATTAAACAAAAAAGATTTATTTAATTTTTTTTTCTTAAAATTAAAATAAATATAAATATATTATGTGATTAAATCCATTTGTTTGGCAGTTGAAATTTGTTAACATGCACAATAATTAAGCATGAATTACTGCTGTTTATAATGTATTACCTAAATAAGTAATATTGTTTTAATCATAGATGTCTTTTGATTCGTTTTTTTTTTTTTTTTTTTTTTTTTTTTTTTCTTTTTTTTTTTTTTTTTTTTTTTTTTTTTTATTTTTTTTTTTTCATACTTTTTTTTTTTTTTTTTTTTTATTTTTTTTTTTTTTTTTTTTTTTTTTTTTTTTTTTTTTTTACATTTTATCACTGTCTTTTTTATTTTTTTTTATTTTGTGAAATATTTATTGCACACAGTTTTTTTTTACTGTCTATTGTGTTTATTGTGTTATTAAAGTGAAAGTGTGCTACCGGTACAATGGAATTAACTTATTTAATTCAGACCAAAATCTTACATTTAACTTAGACAATCTCCAGTTATTTGAAACAAAAGAAGCTCCTAGTGTTATTTTTCTGCAAGAACAATACCGCATAAGATTCCAACAATTTCCATTTCCATCAAGTGTGCATCCCATTTTCTATCTGACATTTGTTGCATGCAAAGTTCACCATAAAACTGTTTGCTTATGGGACTAATGTTCGTTGGAAGCGATCTACTGACTGCAAAATTGTTGTTTTACAACAAGAACTAAGCTTACAATGGCCGTTCACATTGTTAATTGTTAAATTTCTTTTATTGAAGATATAATAATGTTTCTTTTTGTGTTAAAATGTTAATACCAAGGAACTTTGAAGCAATATTTATTGAATACATGAACAGTCTTTACTCAAAGCTTACTTTTATAAACTGTTGATCAGGCATGCATAGCCTAATATGCTGGGATGGTAGTAGGATTTCTCACATATTGCTAGAGATTCATTAACTAAATTTTGTCCATTCATAGACCCTATAAATATTACACAGGAACAAAACAAGATGGCGGCCATGTGTGTGACACAGAAAAATTTTCTCCTGCGCTCTAAAACTTTAGATGTGTTCCCATTGTAACCAAATCTAATTAATTGTTTAAATCGGAATTGGAATTCCAAAAGTCATCATCAGCTGTATGAGTTGGGGCATGTAGCCAAGTGTTGGTATTTATACAAACATTCATATTGGATTGCACATAACAACAAAGTTGTGACTGAACACAGTGTTAACTTTAACTTTAGCCACATTGAAGTCAGTCAATCGACGAACATTTCCTACGTTAAGGTAAACACGCCGGAACGGTTGGGGCGTTAACCTCCCAGGACAGGTCGACGTAGGATTTAAATATTTTAACCCTCGATGTGCTAGAGATTAAGGAGACTTGCCACTAGACTCAAATAAAAACAAACTTCATCAGAAAGCACAATTATACAGCGTGATACTTTGTATTTGCCAACATAAGATATCATTAAACCTAGTAGTAACTTGTTGATGGCTCCAATATACCACCGTATTCCTCTCATCTGACCTATACACCCATACATCCGCCACAACGTTCTCCCCATGGAGTACCCATGGAGTACCCAGAGGACTATTACTCCTACCCATAATATACCTGTTCATAAACAGGCTCCTACCACCTCCAACGCAAATGACCTCCTTGCCTCCTATGACCTTGGTACCCAGGTTGACATGGCAATGCTCGACTTCCCCATGGCCTTCGACACTATTCCACACAGCCTTCTTCTATATAAGCTCCACCACTACGGCATTACCGGTAACCTTCACTCCTGGCACTCAACATTCACAGTGCTGGGCCCCCTTCTCTTTCTCTGTCACATAAACAACCTCCCTGATTCTGTAAAATCTCAAGTGGAGCTGTTTGCTCATGACTGTCTTGTCTACAGAGAGATAAACGGCTACGATGACACAATCACCTCTAAGGAGATTTGAAGTGCCTTATGAATATGGCGGACAAAGGGGGCATAAAAAACATTTAATGAAACAAAATGCTCCACAATGAGCATCTCAAGAAAAAAAAAACATCAACCTTTATGTACTCACTAAATGAGACAATTCTCCAACAAGTATCAAATAATCGACACCTTGGAATTCTCTTCTCCAATAACCTAAAATAGTCACTCCAAACAAAATTTCAAAAGAAGCCAACTCCACCCTAGGTTTCATGGAAAGAAATCTGCTCCACTGCCCAACTTCCAAAACAACTCCACCCTAGGTTTCATTGAAAGAAATCTGCTCCACTGCCCAACTTCCTGCAAACGAAATGCCTATCTTGCACACGTCCGTCCACTACTAGAATATGGTGCGATCATCTGGGACCCACTCCTAAAGCAAGACGTGGACAAAATGGAGTGAATCCAACGCGGTGCTCTTCATCGCACGGGACTACAAATTCAACACTTCTGGCTTCGTCACTGACCTCTTAAAAAGACTTTGCATTCCCTCCCTTAAAGACAGACGAGAGGGACTCCGCCTAATATTCTTATATGAAGTGGTCATGGGCTGGTGCCGGCCATCCCAGCAGGCAAGTACCTCACTCCGCAGAAGCGGGTTGATTGATCAGAGCCAAACATTCACTGAAGACTTATTTCACCACTGATATCCCTATAAACAATTACATATGGAAAAATAGAAAATGCTTGGAACCACATGGACAATGCCGCTGTGGACTCGACATCTGTCGACAGCTTCAAGGCTGCCCTGGCATCGGCTAGCCTAGCAGCTGTTTGGATAGCAATATCGCTTCCCCAACCGTTGCACAGATGCCAGTATATGGATGCAGCAACGAACACTACCAGAACCAGAAGCTGATCTTTTCATGCCCAATGTAATTGTTTGGCTCTACTCGGATCTGGCCTTATATATTTTTTGCACCCCAGGCGGTTCTACATTTTGGCGCCCTACCTTCTTCAAATTATCAGGTTGATTTCAACTTCCTGTTACTAATTATTTTAAAAAAACGAGCTGATTGAGAAGACTGAAGATACGAGTCCTAAACAAACATTCTTATTCTGCCATTAAATACAAATAATGAAACATAAATATTATTTAGATTTTACACAGACCGTTTAAAACTAATATGTTAAAAATTTAATGCATGTAAAAGACAATTTCCTAAAAAGGCAAAACACTTTCAAGAAAACATTAAGAATTTCAACCTTCAGTATTTGAAAAAAAAAATGTATATTAAATAATTAACATTGCTTTTGCCTGTTTCTTTCTGGCAAAAACTTCGGAAGGTCAATTGACCCAGTTCCTATCACCATATCGAGCTAAAACGTGGCAAAAAAAAAAACTATTTGCAGATGACAACACATTCAAATTATCAGTCTCATCCCCAACCTCCAAATATCAGTTTTTCCTGTTTTTCAAGGGGAATATGAAGGAAATCTGATGCTATGATTTCTTAAGGAACAGTAGCCATCGGCGCTATAACTATAATACAATAAAATATACAGTATTTTTCAAGGGGCTAATGAAAGAAATATGAAACGTGTTTCGCCAGCAGTTTAATATTTATATAACCGCTTCTTTAAATTAAACATTAAATATGCAAATGCCCCGACCCCGGGGTAATTCAGCCCCCCCCCCCAACCGGAGCAAAATGTGTACAACAATATAACTTAGGTTGGACTATATATTTTTAAAATTAAAATTACAAAATGTTTATTTTTAAATAGTTTTAAAAAGCATAGTTGGCTTAACTGGTGCCTTTGACCAAATGCAAGTAGTGAAATATATAAACTATTGCTACTCTCGATACATTTGATGATCTGTATATTTAAGGCTAATCTTGTTAGAGGCTAACAGTAGTCAGTTATGAATATCACACTGGCGCTTCAGTCTTACTTCCCTTGTTCGCATACATATCGGTATTTTTATTGATGTATCTTTTGCAGCTTCTCAAGTTTAAAGCCTTTAACTTTAATGACAGTGTATTAAAATACCTTTGCATACCTATAAAGGTCTACAATTTTAATAATAGTTGGTCAAGGTTCAAACATGTGCAACGGTTCTCATATATATATATATATATATATATATATATATTTATAGTTCATGATAAACGCTTTGATACGTGTTAATTATTAATTATAAATTGCATTATAATTATGGCATCGTGCTTTTTTCCCCTCTAATTTAGAATTTAAAGGGTGCATAGAAATAGTGCACGTATCATCAATTATTATTAAATCGAAAGTGCATTTGTTGTCTTTAAATGTGCTACTTTTGTAAAAAGTTATGGAAAAGATTAGAGGGCGTCCATTAATTACGTCAAAAATAGTGGAAGGGGTGGAAATGTTTGACAGTTGTTGACCGGGGGGGGGAGAGGAAGTGGGGATTACATTAGTTGACGTCAACAATCATGTTTTTTTTTTCTATTAAAATTGTAATCTTAAAAATTGAATGGTTCTCACATTATTTTAAACAATTTAATGAGTGTAAATCATCATACATGTTAACGATATAGGAGTTCTTTAATGTGTGTCTGTCTGTGCACTGTAGATTGCTGGTCAGAATGTTAGCACACTTTGTTATTGCAGGAGAAGTCAAAAGTTGGCATCTCTTCACCTGTCATTTTTCTCTCAATCCACTCCCTAGAATGATAAACACATCATTGTACACTTAACAAATTAAAA